GAGCGGAGAAGCAGAGCTTGCGAGTGGCGTTGCCGAGAGAATGTTGATTGCGTTTTGGGAGAGTCGAGTCGTATTCTAACCATCTAGTTGTGCTGCTTTCTGTACGTTTGGCGAGAATAGCTCAGGTTGAACACCAATCGCCTTTTCTATCTTCCATTCCTTTGTAAACACACACATTATATCACGATATTACAGTTATTATTCGCATTCTTACAAATATCGTAGTTCTTCCTCTACTTGCTTCGATATTTTTCGTTTCCAGCATATTTTACTGTATGTTGTCATTTTACTACGAATACGTCAAGTGCAAGAATGAGAAACAAGGAAACAAATAAAATATAGCCGATGTCTCATGAAATTCACGTTTAGAGAATTTTGTGGAGAATCATTTTAATAATTTTTTGAAATACTACAAAATTAATAAGGTTCAAGCAGACCGTACGATACCGTACGATAATTATATGAACATCAGTTCATCGACCTGATTCTGTTTAATTTAACACAAAACTACTAAGTTAATTCTGTATGTACTGGGAGGCGCTTTCAACAGTAGTTCAACGACAAGCAGATCAAGGTATACAACATGTTTAAAATAAAATGTATAAATTTCAAAAATTGGGAAAGAATTTTACTTTTTAAATTTAGAAATGCATTAAGAAGAAGAAAATAATCGTCAGAATCGGGTATCATTAATTAATTGAACGTAATAATAATAATGTACCGAAAAATCTGTACATGTTGAGCATACGCGATGATCATACGTCTAATAGAATACCATTCAATTGTGGAACTCATATTAGTAAAAATAAAATCGTGGCGTGCTCATATTAGTGTCAGAATTTCAACACTTTCAAAGATTCTCTATTTGATTAGATAAATATCGGATTCATGACTGAATTAAATGTTCTTCCATTTTTACCTCGTAATCGTTAGAGAATTGCCTACCTTGTCTTCATCAGGAATTTCTTCATCCAAAAAGTTTATCCATTCATTCGTTCGCCGTTGGCCGAATGTAAAATGCGTCGCAACGTTGATGCGATGAGTCCGCCAGGATTTTATTTTTAATAATACAAGTCCAACAATGCGTGATATCCTATTATGCGATCACCGCGTATGCTCAACATATACAGGTTTCCTTGTATATTATTATTGCACTCAATTACTTAATATCTGGCGGAGAAGATTATTTTTCTCCCTTTAGTGCATTTTTCAATAAAAACCATATTTGTTAATTTTTGAAACTTATATATTTTACTTTTAACGTATTTTTAACTGTTATCCGACAACATACATCAAACCTTATTGTGATATAAAATGATTTTTTCAGATTCCATCTCAGCTAACTAGACAGTTATATATTTCCAATAAGACAAAATGGTAAATTTCTTAAAATTAGATTATATTATCGTCGAAAATGCGCATGTGCTTCAAATTTCAGTTTCTTAGCTGATTGGGGTGTGAGTGAAATTTTACTTACAATAGTTCAACCAGACAGGTAAACAAACAGAAAGTAAGTTACACAAGTATTACATATATATAAAAGTTATTAAAGTAGATAATCGCAGAAGAGCCTCATTTATCGAATGCTGATGCAGTGAGATGGTCTGGTCGCGATAAAGACAGTAATAATAATGATTTTACAAAAATGGAAAAGATAAATAAAATACTAGCTGAGCAGGTACCTTTTCAAGCCGAAGCATTCGTAAAGCACTTATATGATTCAAAGTAGAAAAAGAATGTAACTCTGTGCAATTATCCATATTAAAATTATAATTGGCATAATTACAAAAATTATGCCAATTAGCATCCAAAAAAATGTTGGATCTGTAAACATCTAAAGAATCTGTAAAGAATCTCTCTAAGAATTTCATATGAGAAAAGTGATTGTTTTATTATCCGAAAATTTCATTAACCCAATAGTGTCGTCTGCCTATTAGTTCAGACAAGAAAGGCTCTACTGTAATTTAAATATAGTCATGTTCGATGCCATTTTGATCGTAAGAATCTGGACAGTCTAGTTAAAACAATCTCATAACAATAAAATGAAACATATAGAAACTTTATGTTTGTTGTTACGGCGATTCGTCAATAATTGCACCTGGCTTTTTCCTTTAGCGAATCGGCCCAAAGCGGCCCAAAACATACCCGCAAAGAAGACTAAAAATAGAATAAAAACAAACTGGAAGATGGTATCCCGCTGGGGGTAGCCATCCACATGTTATTTAGCAATAAAGTTAGAAAAATTTATCAAATGTCCTGCTGGGCAAATTGTAAAGCACAAATTAAAATTAAAAGAAAAAAAGGATAGCTCGAAAAGCGTAGCTATTTGAAAACCTATGACCTGTTCCGACAATGACTGAATTATTGAACATTGCGTTTAGTAGCAATAAAGGTCTATTATGCAAGGGACCACACAATTGTTTCAAGTTATAACTCCATTACCAGAGTAGTTACCGAAAATGTCAGTGGAGAAAAATGAATGCATCAAACAGTATTACATTTGTAGGACCATGTTTTACTTTAGAAGTGCAATGATGCATATGCAATCAACAATTGTATTACTTTTTTGCGGAAATACATGTAATATCGTGATATAATGTGTGTGTTTACAAAGGAATGGAAGATAAGAAAAGGCGATTGTTGTTCAACCTGAGCTATTCTCGCCAAACGTACAGAAAGCAGCACAACTAGATGATTAGAATACGACTCGACTCTCGCAAAACGCAATCGACATTCTCTCGGTAACGCCACTCGCAAGCCTCTGCTTCCCCGCTCGCACGCTGCTTCCCGACTCGCACGCTGCTTCTCGACTCGCACGCTGCTTCTCGACTTGCCCTGCCTCTCGACTCGCTCTGGCCGTTGTAGCCTTCCATTGTCTTTTACCAGGCCCACCGCACACGTGTTCTGCAGACGCTCGTGGCCAGGGTCACGTAGGTCTTTTCTACGAACTATGCACTTGAAAGGACCGACGACACTTTGATGGGCCCGACGGTGCCTCGGCTCTCGCGACATTGTTTATGGTTCACCCGATATCTCTTAGGCCTTTCATCCACGATACTACATACATGACAGTGTTCTTTCGTCATTTTACGTACAAAAAGTACTGATAAAAGATTTACGAGTTATCGAAATATTAAAAAAAAGTATTTATTGAAGATGTGAAGGAGAAGTTATTCAAACGTTTCATGGCAATTTTGTACTTGTCGATATCGATGTACGTGGTCGTAACAAAAGCAGATATGTATTCGTTATTTAAAAGATAGGATTTATTCAAACCATATAAATTCTGTAGAGAATGTAAAGGAACGGTTAATACTACGATGTACAACAATAACCAGAGATTACCTTAACTCAGTTATGAAAACAGTTGAGAAACGTTGTCTGGAAAGTTTACAGTGTAGGGAGATTTACAGTGTTTCAGTATCTTCAATAAAGACATTCCTTTTTAATATCTCTAAATTTTTTACCATTGTAGCCCAATATATTTTTACACAAAATGACGAGGAGAATCTATCTATGTAAAAAGAAATGTAAATTTCCATATAAAAAAATAATGCAATTGTTGATTCTATATGCGCCATTACAAACAATACTGAAAAGAACATGGTACTGCGAATATTGCACTCTATCCGTAACCATTCATCTTTCTCCCTTGATACTTTTCCCTAACTGCTCTGGTAACGGTGTTATGCCTTGAAATAATTGGACCACCCCGTATATGGGGATCTGCATTTTTCGAGTTTACTATTTCACTCCATAATACCCAACAAGATTCGTCTCGATCAGCCAGTGGTATCTTTCAGAAGTACAACGAAAATTAAGGGGGTATTCTGGTCTAGAAATTTGAAAAAATCGAAAATTTTTTTCATATTTCCAAAGTTTAGACATTCAAGAATATGTCCTTAAAAGGATTTTTCAAAATTTCAATTATTTTATGAGTTACATCCATTTTTGTGACGCAGCATCTGCTTCGGTCCGACCCCGAAACAAATGAACAGTAGACGATAGACGTTGTCCGACTAAACTTGTCTCAAAACTTTAAACGCGTTTTTCCCGAAACTACTTTTTTCGAGTTGGCGTGCACGATATCTCAAGTTCTAATGAACCGATTTATTTTAAATTTGGTCTGAATATTCCTTATATACTCCCCTATCGTCCGGACCACGCTCAGCTCAAAATCTTTAATATTACTATTTTATAAACGTTCGGAATCGTCAAAAAAAAACGTGCGAAATAAGAATTTTTTTTCAAACGGTCGTCATTTTGTGAAAAACTGTTGTATTGATTTTTCCAAGATTCAGACGATAGCGGCATCCATAGTAATTAAGAATCTGTTCGCTTTTTTTGTTTCAAATGACCAAAAGAGTTGATATCATACACGCTACGACACCCCATTTTTTTGGCAGCACCCATTTTGCCAGCTCATAACTTTTTAAATATTGAGTTTTTTCAGTGAATTTTTTACGTAATCTCGAAATATCAATAAACAAATGCTAAAAAGGAGGATAGCAAAAATATTTTTTGTTTCGCTTGTACAGAGCTTCAAAAATCGCCCGAAATTCATGCCTCTAGATCAGAATACCCCCTTAATAACACCTTTAACTAATATACCTTAAACTTGAAACTGTTCAAGATATAGTAGAACCTCGATTATCCGAATCTTTGTTATCCGAATGTTACATTATCCAAATATATTTCACACGAATAAATGATACAAATTCGTAAGAAATTAAATTTAAAGGATTGCTGTTAATTGTGGCATATGCTTGATATTTTTTGATACTTATTTATCTATATTTTAATAAGCTTTTGAATCAGAACTTTCAAACAATAAATACACAGGTTTGAAGTTCGAAATCATATAAATACAAATAGCTAATATAAATATTAAATAGCTATTATAATAAGGAAAAAATTGCCTACCATAAAGTACTACACATATGTTTATGTTTTTCAACCGTACCGAAAAATTTGTTTCCTTGATAGTAGTGGTTTTCCACCATACATACATAGGTTAATAACTTTTTACAAGGAATGCGTTAAAATGTGTATAGTTCTGCCAAGAAAAATGAAATTGACCTTTGTTTGATTTCCAAAAAATTCTTTACGACGTAAAATTTCCATGTATTTTCACATTTTCTACTTTCGCCTTTCTTCCCTTCAATAGCAATTCCAATGGAAAGTAAAATACTCGTCCGCGGACATGCATTTTTCGAGGCTTTTCCCCAGACGACGCATGTTTGCCGACAATTGTCTGTCAGTGTAGACGTGATTTTTATGTTTGTCAGCGTAAATTTAGTTTCAGAAGTGTGTTGGAAGTTGAAGTGAGAAGCAATAACTGCGAGTAAAATAAAGGGGAAAGGCTCGCCGGTCTCACTGACCTAACAAGTAACTTTTATAAATTATAAATAAAATATAAACAAGTAACAGGACGCGTAGCGATTTAGCCAAGCGCGGACTCTGTTAGGCAAGTGAAATTGTAATACGGTTCTGAACGTTTTTGTGACTTGTTTACTTACACAAATTTCTATCAGAGAATTTAATTGCTTCGAAATTGAAAACTAATTGTAATTCTCAACCAACATTTTCACGTATTAAATTTAGCGTTTATTCCGGTGTTTAGAATTGGCTGCATATATTGCTTAACACCTTGTATCGAAAGCTGTGATTTCTATCCGTGTGAAGGGGTTCAATATCCGCAAGGTAAATAAATAAATAAGTAATCAGCAGCGTTCTAGAATATATTTTATACCAACTTTTTGCAATGCAATTTCCCGATATAATTAATGCGTCAATAACTATGTACGTTAATGGTGTCGTGTTATTAATTTCATTCAAAAATGAAACAACATAACTTCTGCAAAAGTCAATAAGAAAAATACAAATATTACATAGAAAATGAAATATTAAAAAAAATGTTACGTTGATTTCGTGATACATTACGCGACGGGTTCAGAAATTAGATTAAAGCAGAAAATATCAACCATAGAAAATTATTATTATTAAGGTCATTAAGGTTGCAATATAATTTACATGAAATCCAATATATAACGTGTGTGAATTTTTTGGGAAAGACAGTAGAGTTTCTACATCTCTGGATTGGTGGAAATTTGCAAAGGAAGTCCGTACAAAATTGCCTTCGACATTGAAAATCGAAGGAGAAATTTGTTAAAATTTCTGACTAACTTGCCAAAAGAACTATGAATTACATTCTTTTGAAAAATGATGTTGAGGTCCCATTAGTTCTTACAATGATATTATGTAAGATATGTAGTTTACATTCCACAGTAAAAAAAAAAGTAAATAGTGTGATATTAATGAGGAAGCACGCGAAATAGAGATACGAATTATTATATTATTATTTATATATTATTATCACATATTGTCACTATAGAGATACGATTTAGTGCTATTAACTTTTTTACAAATGGAGATATGAAGATCATTCGCAGAGGGCATACGAAGGTCAATTATATCTATTTAAATTGAATCACAATTCTTAATGTATTGGTTGTTGCATCTCGTTATTCCATATAGAAAGACATAAAATTGCTTATGCCACAGAATATTTTGATATAAATATTGTAGTATCGTACATATAAATAATTAGTTTATTAATAATATATGGTTTAAACAGAAAACAATGTTTATTTAACATGAACTAATCGTAACAACGTATTATAATTAATTAACAACTCTCGTTAACACAGATTCAACTCTCTCTCAACAACGCTAACAACACTATCTCGACAACACAATCCGCACTCTCTGGCTTCTCAACTCATACTGCTGTTAATTTGTTTATGTGCCTTAGCAACCCTTTGTCTTTTTTCTTAGCCTCATATCTTTTGTTTAAGTCCCATCATGCACATGCTCAGCAACCGCTTGTTTATAATTCGCACGACCCTCCCCCTCCCCCAGGTCCCTCGTCCACGATACTACAATATTATTAAAATAATTATGATTTAATTGAATCAGAAAATATTAACCATAGAAGATCATTATTATTAAGGTTATGTATTAACCATGAAATATTATATTGGAAGGTATGAAATATTTTTTCCTTTTGGACGTTGTTGTTGAACGATGTAACTATGATAGACTTGTTCTATAAAATGATATGAAGCACAGGGTTTTAACCATAGCGTTCCACATATGTTTTATTACATGCGAAACAATGCAACAGAAGTAATAAATGTTTCTTGGGCCGGATTTCGGCATGAGTGACTTAATACTGTTCGGGCCCTGATTTTTATTTTTTTAAGACTGCAGTTTTTCAAGATAATACAATTTACTTCCATAATTATTCTCCGCGTTTATTTCAACTATCATAGTAATTAAACGTTCATAGTTTTTCATAATTTAGGAAAAAATAATCTACTAAGGTAACGGATATTTAATAAGGAATACGTAAAGTGTTCCTCTGGCCAAATAAATTGCTTCCATTATCTGCATAGGATGCAGAAATAGGAAGGCGTGACGTCTCTTCCGACACTTTAGGATAGATGATTCATTTTTAATCGGGATAGACGCGACACCCTCTCCGTGGAAGTTAGCTTAACCGAAATGATATTTATAATTTTTAATCAATCTTTATTTATAATCAAATAATTATAATATCTTAAAAACTATTTATTTTCTTATTGAAAGTCTGATAATTTAAATATATTTATGAAGCTTTTGCATCCTTTCACTTTTGTTTTTATTTCATCTTTAAAATGTTGACTGTTAGTTAAGTTAATAATACTTTATTGTGAGAGAAGATATCACACATCATTGTAAGATTATTAGCAATAATTGATAAAAAATGTATTTAGGCAAGGTTTATAGGTAATAAATATATATCAAAAGAAGCATCAGATATATAATTACATATAAAAGTAAGCTATTTAATAACTATGAGATATATTTCAGGCTGTGTAATTCTTCCATAAAACAAGAAACGACAGTGACAACTGAAGTCGTATCTGTCAGATACATGAGACAGATCCTTCGGGATAGGCGGGAGTGATCCTTCGAACCGTGAACAGCAGGATATAAGTTCCGTCGCCAGTCATCTATAAGCAATGTATCGACTACGGTCGGACGAATGCAGGTCGTTTGATAAATTTTATGGAACTAAAGAAAAACACAAATATTTTCGCTCAACTACTCCATAGGTACTCTTACTGGGTTTCTATCGTTTGACGTCGATACCTGCTTCTGACAGCTAGCTCGCAGTTATTCAGTCAAGCGGCACAAGAACAAGTTACTCGAACGTGTACATTCTGCCTTCCCCTGGATGTAACATGTGTATAACGCAAGTTTATGTAACTTAGCTACAGTTAAAAGGGTTTAAGCTTCAAGCGGAGGCAACATAAGCTCGCTATTTTCTTTATTTGTTTCTTGGTGATTCTTGGCAAACGACAGATTTTCATTTTTCGCGACGAAGGTTTATGCGTATGCATACGTCCGACTGATTCAATTAGAAATATTTCTCGTTTGATTTGTCATTACATTTATCTATTTGTCAGTTCTATATTCCGTACTATGCAATTTATGTAGGAACATAATGAGCGAAATTTTCGAAAACCTGTCACGCCAGATTTGATTAAAATTTCGCAAATAGCTTCATTTTATACAAAAACGATGTTTGCAAGAAGGATTTTTGGTGACTTGAAAATTAAGATCTTATCGCCACGCTTTCTTCGTTAATTAATAAAGTGTAGCTCCGTCGCGTTTATTGTTGGGGAATATTTCCAAGCGATACTCATCTTCTGCATGCTTTATCGTATCTCTCGAACAATAAAAATTAAACCTAAGTACAATTGAAATATATAAAATAAATTTCAAAATAAAAAAAAGTCAACCATCCGAAATAGGACCGATCCCACTGATAAAAGTTGCTTTAACAAGATCTAAAACATATTCAATCTATAAACTACGATATATATATATATATTACCAAGGATCTATGATTCTACTGGAAATATCTAGGTCTTTAATTTTCGAATCACTAAAATTTCTTCTCACGAAAGTTGTTTCTACCGAAAAGAAACCTATCTTTAGAATTTCAATCAAATCAAAGCGTAGAAGTTTTCAAAATTACAGGCAGTGACGCTGAAATGGTAAACGTCGTTTGCAAAATTTTGGATCTTCACATTTGAGTCGACAAAAATCCTTCTCGCAAACATTGTTTTTATTTAAGATGAAGCTGTTTGCAAAATTTTAGTCGAGTCAGGTGTGATAGTTTTCAGAAATACAACCGAAACATGCACAGAAGTTGGATTTTTTCCTAGTTCCGCCACTAACGTTTCGCTTATTTTGTTGATGCCTCAATCAAAATTTTATAAAATTAAAACCAAACAATATATGTGTGTGTGCTTCAGTTTTATATAAAGCAATTATTCATTAGTTGCAAGCACGCGTATTGAACTACGAAGTAAAGTTATTAATTGGTCTATGAATTTCGTGTACGATAATTCTATACGTACGTTCATGAATAACACGCATTGATAGAATTGTTCAGGTTCATTGAGATCCGGAATAAAAAGGATCGAATTTAATGGTATTATATGATTTCAGTTTGTGGGTTCAATTCCTTATTATTAGCGTTCTCAATACGTTTTGTTGTGCAGATGGGAGTATATGTTAATTAGTTTAAATGGCCTGCTGTGAATAATTAGAATATTATTAGTTTGAAAGATATCTATATCTCTGTAGAACATAGTGTATGAGATATCTATGCCATACTGGTCTCCTAAACCATACTCTGCCAATTTCTTTAAATAAAATAATAATTTTGATAATACAATTTTGTTACAAATTTTCATATTTTTATCAAAGTATAATTATTGTAAAACATTCTGTATATAGCAAAATACTAAACAGTTAGGTTTATTAAACAATATTTTTTAAAAAGGTGTGTTATACATATTCTTCGAAGTTTTACGAGAACGAAGTTGTTTTATTTAACAAAATAAAACGTGTAATAAGTATTCGTACCGATCTTGAGTCAAATGTACTATTAATT